TACAAGTACTGTCCTTTCCTATTCAGCATAAATTGCTTCTTTTTCTCCACTCTTCTACTCCTAATTAACATGAGTTTCTATTTACTTCTTCAAATTAACATGAGTTTCTATTTACTTCTGTGTTTTAAACTAGCTCTATTAACTAAGGGAAGCTTTGGTAATCTACTTTTTCTTTAGCTTTTGCTTCCTGAGTTGGCTGTCTCTGCTAGTGATATATGCATACAACCAAGAGAGGGTACATATTTTAATTCATCAGTCATGCCCTATCTACATATGACATATACAAGTAGAAAACATTATTTAAGTTTTACATTCCATCTAATTTGTTGTATCAAACAAACATTACTTCATATACCAGACTAACCAATACTCGGTGCCAATGGACTACTTTGTGGGTGATGTCAGATGGACAAAGGCCTCTCTGAGGACAGTAAGATAAGCACTGACTGCCAGATGATGAAAAATGCCCATTCTGTTGAACTCTTCCCAGAATTACATCTTTCACTGAATGAAACATTGCAAGTCCAAGCGAAGTTTGAAGATACTATATTGAGTATTAATAGCCAGATGCCCCAAACCTCCAGAACATAACTCCTTCCTCCTCTGAAATGGCATTTTTCTTCCAGTCTTATCTGTGATAAAATAATGAAACAAAGTGAGCCTGAATCCATGCTGGATTTGATTGATGTTTTGCATCACAGTACCAGCTGAGAGCTCCAAACAAGATAGAAGCACCATTTTGCAAGGCACTATACAAAGACACTGTAAAACGGACATTGCCCGAAAGGTCTTATATGCTAAACAGATGAGACATACAAAAATGGAAGAAAGGGAATGTTGCAGGAAGGATACCAAGGCAGACAGATGAAAGTACTTACTACCCATGATCATCCAAGAAGTATGGATAATAGACAGAAGTAAAAATTGAGCATATTCATAGGTGACCTGAGGTTCAACCATAACATGGTCCTTTCTAGACTAAAACAGTCAGGTTTGAAAAGCTCCAAATAACAGAGCATCCATTGCTTCTTCTGGGAGATTATCCCACAGGTTTCACTGTTGGGGAAATTTTTCTTGCTACATATCCCCCAGTTTCCCTTTGTTATTTTGATCCCAGTGCTTTTCCTTATACCCCATGCATGCACTCTATTAAATTACTTTTTCTTCCTTCTGGTTGAAGGAGAAATATTTGTAGAAGCACTACCAGGTCTCCTCCCTACACCAAGATCACCTTCTATATGTATCTATGTTATAATTAACTTTGATCCCCAATTCAAGAACATGTGTTGCTCTTCTCTGAATTCCTCCAATGTGTTACTATTTTTCTGGTA